AGGTATATTTTTCAGTCTTTCCAGACTGCATTAATTCTCATCTAGTTATAAATCACGGAAAACTCAACAAAGCAGAAGAATAATAGTTCCACTGTATCTATGTTACCTGATGTAAACATAATAGATTATTCACTTTGGAAATTTGTGGGGATTTCAGGTTGGTATCTATCCTTGCCTAGTTAACTAGTTCACTCCTTACTAGCCGGTCCTAAGCCTGAATAAGGAGGGAACGTTGCGCATAGGGCTGGCAACCCTACCCCATAAAATCAATCCAATCGCAAAACAAACCTCAAAGCACAAAGAAAATATAAAAAATAAAAACAAACGTTTTCCTCGCTGGAATCGGCGGGACGAAATGACGCTGGTTGGTGAAAGCCTTCAGGAAGCAAATTAGACTATCTATCTTCTCTCCCTCGATGAAAGCAAAAGTAAGAATGGGGACATGGAATGTCCAGACAATGTTTGAAGCTGGCTGGATAGCTGGCAAGGCTGCCCAGGTCGCAAAAGAAATGAGAAGATATGGCATAGAAGTGCTAGGCTGGGAATCTGAGAAAGAAGATGGAACTGAAGTGGACTCTCCAAACTGTCAACGGGACAGTCAACAATCTTCTCCGATATTATTACTCAGACGACAACCACGAGCACACTGATTTTTGGAGTGGCTATCAAGATGCCCCTTAGAGCATCAAAGGCTCTCTCTCTCATGAAGTTGGAACCAATCCCCTCCACTATCTGGATCATGACAGCAAGATTCAACTCAAAAGGAAGGAAATTCACGAGCATACAACGCTACACTACGCACCTACAAATATTGCAGATAAAGAGAAGAAGGAGGAATTCTATAGACAACTGCAATCAGCACTGGACAAGACCTCACCCCAGTTGGTGGCATCAAAATTCTAATGGGTGGAATGACATGATTACAAAATTGGGAGCGGGCAACACAGCAAGGGAACTCATCTATCATGGGTCGGGAAGCACTCGGTGAAATGAACGACAGTGGAGAACTGTTTGCAGACTTCTGAGCATTCAACGATTTGATGATTGAAGGTAGTGTGTACAAACACTGGGACATTCACAAAGTGACATGAATTTCAGCAGATGGACACACTAAACTAAAAATCAGATCGACTTCATTTCAATGAGAAGAAAGTGGAGATGGAGATGCAGCCAGCCTACTGGACTCAAGATCAGATGTAGGTTTACATCACCCATTGTCTACAGCAAGGAACCTACCTTCAAAATCGAGTTGAAAGCCTTCAAAGCAGTTGGTGATTGACCACAGTTCAAGTTCAACATGCAGAACAGAAAGTGACCTGAAGGATGAAACTACAAAAGCCATTGTCACGTCAGTCATCAGGACAAAATAGGAGATATTGAGCATCATCCCTGAAGGAACCTGCATGGAGGAACACTTGAACTCTTTGAAAGCGACGTGGAAATAAACCTGCATAACCATATTTGGAAGGAAAGATAGACAGGACAAGGAAGGGATTTCGACGGACACATGGGATGTGACACAGCAGGGAGAGTAAGATGGTGAAGAAGATGAACCAGTGCAGCGCATTGATGAACAACGAAAAAGGAACTGAGCACAACATATAAAACACTAGACAAGGAAGTGGAGAAGAGTGCACGGGAAGATAAAAGATACTTCCACGACACACTTGCAAGTGAAACATAACAGGCTGCAGGTGGGAGAGACAGAGAGAGACCTGACAACATCATACCGAATAACGCGGTTACTATCTGTTAGGGAAGAGATCAACGTGGATGAAACCAATTGGAGATAGTGAAGGAAGGTTAGTTAGCAAAGAGGAGAAACAAAGGAAACTTTGGGCTGACCACTTGAAAAAACTCTCTGGTCGACCACTGCTACCACCTCCATCTGCAACTCTTCCAGAAATACCACAAGCAGCCCAGCTACAGAATTAGCAGTGAACACAAACCCTCCAACGAAAGCAGAAGTGAAATCCCGATCGACATAAAGTTACTGAAAGCCAAAAAAGCAGCAGGAGCAGATGGAATTCCTCCAGAATCACTGAAAACATTCAGATACAACAGCGGACATGCTCATGCCACTTTTGCAGGAGGTTTGGAAGGAAGGAAGGTACTTGTCTGTTGAATGCAAGAAGGACTATCTTGTCAAACTCCTAAAGAAGGGCGACTTAAGTCTTCGCAAGAATTGGCGAAGAATTGTGCTCCTGTCCACCGTAAGCAAAATATTAAGCTGAATCACCCTGGAGAGAGTCAAAAATGCTGTGAATTCAACTGGATTAGGATCCGAACAGGCTGGATTCTGTAATTAGAAATTATGTGCGGATCAAATTGCAACGCCACACTACGCATCATCATACAACAGAGTGTAGAATGGTAGTCAACTCTTCAACTCTACTTCAACCACAGTGAAAACGCCTTCGATAGCGTCCATCGAAAAGTTATCTGTCAGCTACTGCTCCAACACTATGCTTTTAGTGCCACAAATCGTCATCAACATCAGTCAACAGCAGCTATATGCCACATGATGATGCTATTGTCTGTTGTATATCAAATAAGCAATGAAATATGGAATAATTCTCTTTGTATCCTGAGAAATCATCAATTATCTATCGAAATAAATGATTTTCATTGCTCTTAAATAAAAAAATGTCACATAGTTGATTAAAAAAATATATTTTATATTGTTGAGAGATTGACTGGCTAGGTATTGTTGAACATGATTTATATTAGAACAATAGCATATATGAATGTAATGTAACTTACATGAAATTTCCAACATGAATGAATAAAAGTTACTCAATATAAAAAAGTGTATGACGTAAAACTTGTATTGTTATTATAACAATATATCATAATCTTCTTGTCAATAACAAACCAATGAATAAATTAATTATATAGTGTATTTTCAGAAGAATGACACTAAAATATTGTTAACTAGATCAAGATTTTGTCATTCTGCTCTTTGATGGAACACGCTTAGACCGTCTTCTTTACTTGGTCAATATCATCATCATCATTTAACAGAGTGTGGAATGGTAGTCAACTCTTCAACTCTACTTCAACCACAGTGAAAACGCCTTCGATAGCGTCCATCGAAAAGTTATCTGTCAGCTACTGCTCCAACACTATGCTTTTAGTGCCACAAATCGTCATCAACATCAGTCAACAGCAGCTATATGCCACATGATGATGCTACATGAAGAGTGATTCACAATGGAAGACCCAGCTCAGTGATGCCTATGAAGTGAAGACAGGAAGGAGTAAGACAAGGTTTGTGCCTAGTATCACTGGTGGTGATCCTGATTGTAGTCGAGTGGACTGGACTGGATTAGACTGAAGTGGATCATGGAACAGGTGAGTGTGATGAGCAGTGAGAAGAGTGGCATACGCTGACTGGACCAATGAAGAGACCCTAGAAGATGATTTGTATTTCGCTGATGATGATGATTTATGTGTAATGTTTTATGCCTCACAAATTGGAAGATGTACAGGTGAGAACAAATAAGTTGGTAGAAGAGGGAGGCGAGGCAGTGAAGGAAGACGGAAGACGGAACTTCCTTTAGTTGAACGTAGAGAAGGTACCTACATACCTACGCAGCATCGTTTCAACTAGAGTCGGCACAGGTACAGATGAAGACATCAAAGCCAGTATCGGAAAGACTGCAATATAGGCCTTCCTTCATCAATCGGGAATCGGTGTGAAGATCTACTGCACTCAGCATAAAGCGTGAACAGGATCCGGATTTTCAACACAAATTCAGTCAATTCATCTATTCCATATATTGGTGGCTGAGAGGCTTGGGGCGTTAGGAAAACCATTTCCAACAGACTGCAAACATACATCATCAACAGCTGAGGTCTACACTCACTGGACTTTGACGCTGAAAATGGAGATCAGGTGGTGAGAATAATTAGAATAGGCAAGGAGGAACTCTGGTTGGCATTGAACCATCAAGAATCCAGATGGGAAACGACTAGTTGGGCATCTAAGGGTGACATGGAGGTGATTGTGTAAGGAAGAAATGAAAGCTTGTAGTTAGTTGTTGGACGAGGTTCAAGAAATTGTAAAGAAGATAGTGGAATGGATGCACGCTAGTGATGCTCTATGTTCCACTAGAAACTTAAAGGATAAATGATGATTCAATTTATTATGGAAGTCATGGTTATGATAACTTTTGAAGACATTTTGCTGAGTCTCAAAATAATCGAAACTCAAGTCATACTTTTTCGTCTATGAAGAAGTTTCAGTTGTCTTATAACATATGTCTTTATGATAAGAGTTATTGGATTAGTGAATTTTCGGATGCCTTTTTCTATATACAAGTAACTGTCGATAAAAGTGCAATTTTACATGTTTATGTAATGTCTTTCTTATCAAAGCTTTGAATTAATATTTAACATATATGAACGTATTCTATGAGATGTCGAAGTAATTTTGATGTAATAAGTACTGTTATCAGTCTTATTCATTCATTAATTGACCTTAATGAAGTTGGATAAATAGTTATTCAGAACTAGTAGTATCATATTATGAGGTTATTTGTTAGCGATTTTTGTAATGGTTCTGTCAAGATCCGTTAATGTTACCCTTCTGTCATGAAACATGTTGTTCTTTGAAAACATTTTATGAATCTTTGCGCCTAAGATACCTTACTATTTGTATAAGATTTGGACAGATGTATGCTATTTTTCCTATCATTGTCTACTTTCTAAATTACATGAATGATAACTTTGTTTTTTCTTAATATTCAGACAATGATTAAACTGATATGAACTGAAAGTTGAAATAATGCTTAACAAACTTTTATTTTTGAGTCATAGTTTATATTATTTGGTTTTTCTATGACGATTCATTGTATTATTCTCATTTTGTTTACCTTTTTCTACCTTATGAAGTTAGTTATATTCTAATATGAGTATTCTGGAGTTAATTATTAAGTTTATAATTGAATGATTTGTGTCATTTCTAATTTTTATTTATTTATTTATTTCTTAAACAGGCAAGATCATCGTTAGTTAACGAGTCAATGGAAACAAATAATCATTCAATTACTAAAAATCCATTGATTAATGCTTTAAATCATGGAAATATAAAACATCATCGACGTTTAACTAGTGAATCTGTATCCAAAATTTCACGTATACTACGAATGAGATCATCTATAACAAAAGATTTTTGTGAGAATAGAAAATCATTAAGTAATAACAGTGTCTGTGATAATATTGATGTTAATGGTATAAAGAATCGAAGTAATCATCATAAGTCATTTATTGACAAATTATCTAATAGTCATTCAACAGATCATCATCATCATCATCCTATGGATTTCAATTCTCTACGTCATTTACATATCTTTCGATCACCTTATTCACGTAGTTCACATTCATCAGTTGATAAACATTCATCTATCAATTTAACTACATTTCTTAAATTGAAACCAAACCTTCTTAAGTTAAAACATGATCAAACTCATCTGAATTTTTATAACCAGGTGGATTGTTCAACAAATGATAATTATAACAATGAAGAAAGAGGAAATATTGAACTTGTAGATTCATGTCAAGCGTTAAATACTGCTGAAGATAATAATAATAATAATAATAATTCAGGTAATAATCAATTTGTTGTTAACAGAAATTTATCAACTATTGATCAATTAAACTGTCATTTATACAGTGAAACAAAACCCCTACTGGATACAGTAAACTTTTTTAATAGTGATGAATATGGTTTATTTGATAGATATAAAGAAAAATCAGTTTTTTCTAAGAAATCAAATTTAGCTTCAAGTTTCACTTGGCCTCCATTTACATTATTATCCAGTTCATTATTAAATCAATCAAAACTTGATGATATTAAAACATCATCATATGATCATTCTTACAGGATATCTAATCAGAATAACCATAATAATAATAATGATAATAATAATGAGATATCTTATTGTGATGATACTTGCTTTGTTCAAACTATAGCTACCAGTAACAATAATAATATTACTCCTGAATCTAGTATAAATTATAACAGAAAATATAATAATAATAATAATAATAATAATAAACTAAATTTTTCATCCTTATCATCATTTATACACCCTAATATCATGAATTCATCATTAGATGATGAAAGTATGACAGAGTTTGCTAGCGCTCAATCATCTATTTCAAGTAGAGAAAATTCCAATAGTATATCAAATAATTATACTATCTTTTTACAAGATAAAAAACAATCATCATCAATAGATAATAAATATGAAAAAGGATATTTTAAATATTCAAAATTAAATCCAAAATTTTCATATTCATTTCCTTATGATTTATATCATAATTCATGGTTAAATATAACAAAGAAATATATTGATAAACAATCTGAAGTAAAATTTTCTACAAAACTTATCAAATCAAATATTGATAATTTAGGTGTAATGCATTCAAGTGTTCCAAGTATAAATTCTGAATATTATTCACCAATACCATAATTATAAATAAATTATAAAGTGTAATTCAGTAAGTTTGTTTTGTTCTTTTTTTTAGTAAAAAGAATCATTTACAATTAGAATATACTTTTATGAATTAAAAATGACTGAATACAATTTTCAATATTTAACTTATTAAATTAAACAAAACATATTATCATTTAGAAAGAAGACTGATTGAGCAAGCGAAGAAATATATTCCTTTTCAATTAAGTCTTTATTTCGAGTTCTAGTCCCTTGGGTTCCTAATGGAACATAAGGCGGCTACAGTAGCACGTCTCCAGTGAACTCTGTTCTCTAAAATCCTTTTCAACCTGGCTCCACGACAGCCCACAAGCTCTCATTTCCTCCTCATACGATCTCCTCCATGTGACCCTTGGCACCGACGCCCAACTCGTCTCTTCCCATGGGGATTCCACTCGAGTGACTGGCCTGACACGTGATGTCCCCCGTCGGCTTTCTCAGTGTATGCCCAATCCATCTCCACTTCCTTCTACATATTTGTTGCGTGATAGGTTCTTGGTTGGTTCGTTGCCAGAACTCATTTTTGCTTATTCTTTCTGGCAATCTGAACTTCAGTAGTGAGCGTAAGCAGTTGTTGATGAATGTGTGTAGTTTGTTGGAAATCCCTTTCGTAACGCACCAAGTTTCTGAACCATATAGAAGCACTGACTTGACATTGGTGTTGAAAATCCGTATCTTGTTCCACATGCTGAGTGCAGTTGATCTCCACACTGGTTTCAGGCTAATGAACGCCTGTCTTGCTGTCTTTCCGATTCTGACTTTGACGTCCTCGTCCGTCCCGCCTGTAGTTGAAACAGTGCTTCCTAGATAGGTGAAGGAGGTTACTTCCTTTAAGTTTCTCCCGTTGATGGTGACTGGAGTTTGTTGTTGTTGTTGGTATTTAATCAAATTACCAATCATAATTTCTTCTCAACAATGAACTCTACTGGCAATCTGATGGTGTTGCTAAGGGGTCACCCCTTGGCCCAGTCTTAGCTGACTTTTTTCTGGCAAAACTTGAGAATGGTCCACTGAACGATACTATTAGTCGTTTAGAGTTATATTGTCGTTACATGGATGATAACTTTATAGTTCTCAAAAGTGAGACTGATAAGAATGCTGTTCTCAATAAGTTTAATACTGTTCATTCGGCAATGAACTTCACAATGGAAGAGGAGAAAAATGATAGTATCCCATTTCTTGATGTTCTGTTGGTAAGAATACCAGATGGAACCCTGAAGGGAAGTGTTTATGGGAAGTCAACATCAACAGGTCAACATACGCACTTCTTTAGTGATGTACCCCTTCAGTACAAAAGGAACCTAGTGGAATGCTTAGCATACTATGTCTCAGCTATTTGCTCAGAGGATGCTATGGAGGAAGAGTGCCCCACCTTCCGTGATCTGCTTAGTAGGAATGTCTACCCAGACAAGTTTGTAACTAAGCGCATGAATATTAGGAGGGTTAAGACAACAACGCCAACAGTTCCTAAGAAACAAATCATCTTGAAGCTGAAGTTTAATAGTGACATTGCCAGTAGGATCATCATACAACACATGAAAAAAGACTTACATAAAGCATTCCAGCCTCTAGACTGTCTCATCTTCTATAACCGTGTGATTCGAGGTCCAAGAAATAAAGACAAACTGACTGATTCTGCCACTTCTGTGTGCATTTATCAATTCAGGTGCTCTTGTGGAGCCACTTACATTAGGCGTACAATGAGGCAGGTCGATCGTCGAATTTCTGAGCACCACCCATTGTGGTTGAGCAAGGGGCAAATTAGAATAACAAAGAGCTCTAAACTTGCACACCTAGTTGACACAGGACATCAATTTGATACTGGAAAGCCCTTCAAAATCATCCATCATATTCCAGTTAATTTACCACATGGATTATCCACTCGGTTACTTCACACAGGAGAGGCGATTGCAATCCACTTTCACAAATCTAACCTTTGTATTGAAAAGAAGTTTGTTCGACCGCTTTCATTACCGTGGCCGTCAACATGATGTTACTTCTAGGTTTACTTTGTACACCTCTTCCCCTTCTTTTTTCTATCAATATTCATATTTCCAATTTTAGTAACTCTATTGATTATTTACATCATTATTTCTGAAACATCACCACGTGAATGGTAATTTGGTTAAATTGTAAACCCCCTATATATTAGTGTAGAGCCTAAGATGAATACTTAATTGAAAAGGAATATATTTCTTTGCTTGTTCAATCAGTTTTTTTCTAAATGTCTAGATAGGAATATTCAATATATTATCATTTTCTTTGTGACATATATAAAAAGGTTCGATGTTATTTTCCATAATCATTAAAAGAAAAAAACAACAACAGATGAATAAGAATTCTTCTGAACACTTCTTCTGAATTCTTTGTGATGTATTCTGATGCTTACTGCCGAAAGAATAGGATAATAAAAGGATTCTACTATTTTTGCTAACGAAACAGTAATTTTTGTTCATATATATATATATATATATTTGCTGTTTAAGGTAAAGATAATGATGATGATAATATTAAAAGAAAGGTGATCAACTGATATTTTGACAATCTTCTGTAAGGCTTTATTCACTTCGTAAACAAGATATTAGACAGTAAACAACACCCAGAAAATGAATATGCTTAGTTTAAAATAAGTTGTCTACTATGGATTGAATATACAAGCATATATCATATAAACAGGAATGCTTACAGTATGCATAATTACTTTAAAATAACAAATGAATTTCAAGTGACAGTTATGATGTTTAAAATATTTCATAACTTCTTGAGTAATTACTATTCATAAGCAAACTTTTTCACTCTGAGCTGGATATGCACCTAAATGTAATGATCTTGAACTGAAAAAGTGTGAGGTTAGGGTTGCTGAGGCAATTGACAAGAACTACTTCAAAAGTTGTAATGTTATTCCAGATTTAATTTGTTTGAATTATGTAAAATGTACTATTATCCCTTGTAAGTTTGTTCGACTACAATTTATTGACCACAACCACACGATTGACTCATACAACTTATGACATCGATGCTTTATAGTCTACAATCTGACCGACACTTTCAATTTAACTTCAGCTACACTCTTTGATTACGCTGAATGAGTGTTCGAATCATTCCTACTGAGTAAATTAAGTATCGACTTCGAATTTCCAAGTATGCGCCTGTGTGCTCAGTACTGTTACACCATCATGGACTGGCATCAGTTGGAAGAAAATTGGAAACCCAGGAGGACTGGAAATCTGTTTCTTCCGAGTATGGGACTCCCCAGCAGTGCTAACCTATGACCCTGCCAGGGATCGAACCCAGTACTTTCAGGTTCCGCGGCCGCCACGTTTACTTTGACCCAGCCGGGTTGGAATCGAATGGTTCGAATTTCCTACTTCCTCTAACTGATATCAGTACATGATGAATTCCAACCTAAAATCAATTCATAAACCTTCACAAACCTCCAGACAGAATTATGGTGTGGTTGTTTGAAAATATATGTAAATTAGTAACTGCAGTTTCCAGTGAATTATTTCTTTCAAATAGATCTATCTATTTGAAATGAACTAATTAACCGGTGCAATTATGATCCGTTTCGTCTTCCTATTAACCTGATCATAAACTTGATACGTGTACTAAAGTCGACCTAAGCATTTTATTTGTTAGGAACACTAGAGTTTTGAGTGGGCACATTTATCTGGCAGTAAATATGTTGATTTGCATAACACTCTATTCGTATACTACTTATTGTTCATAAGTAGACTAGCTGATTGGTTTTTATGCCGCGTGCATACGCGTAAATACGCCTCAAAAAAAGCAGTCTGGCATGTTAAGGATGAATCGTGGATAGCAGTGAAATCCAGGATGCGCATTTTGTCCTATTTGGGACCTGCTGGCTGGATGTACCTGCTTCCCGATGAGTGTTGTTCCCACCGGGATTCGGACTCGGAAGCGATCGCTTCAAACGCCAGTGCGATGTCCACTTCACCACCGAACCACGATAGAGACTTCTTGTGAGACGGGTAAAGTTCTTAGTATAAGGATTTTTGTATATGATACCGTCGTTTTTTATATGATACCGGCGTTTGAAGCGATCGCTCCCGAGTCCGAGTCCCTGTGGGAACAACATCACTGACTGGGAGGCAGGTACATCCAGCTGACGAGTCCCAAATAGTACGAAGTGCGCATCCTGGATTCCACTGCTAGCCACGATCCAACCTTAACATAATCACATTCCTGGCAATATCGAGGCATCCGCACAGATTCCTATCTAAATGATTTAAATATAGCTCAAATATAACTTTATCATACCTTACTAGTGCATGCATCTGTGTATAATCAAACAGGAAGTTGGAGTGCTGTAACAGTCATAAGCACACAGGCACATACATGAAAATGCAAACTATACCGTGAAATCAATACCTAACTCATGCAGTAAGAACCATTCGAACGCCCATTCAGACTAATCAGAAAATGTAGCCGTAGTTAAATTAAAAGTGTTGGGTAGAGTTTAGGTTACAAATTATAAATTTCGTAGGTTACATGAGTCGATCATCGAAAGAGCATGTGGTGGATAATAATATATCATTCCATGTCATATAAAACATAAAATACAACTGTGCTTAGGATCTCACTTGACATCACTGTTTCCTATTAGATCAGGGTGTATTAAGAAAAGAGTACAACTGAATGTTGACGGAAAATTTTTCCTCATATTTGAACACTGTTTTTAAGCTATATATGGTTAGGGTTTCATAAATATTGGGACAAATAACTGAGAAACTTTCCCGTTTTTCTCATTAAAACAGTACTACTCATTAAAGTTGTTCCAGATTCCTGAAGACATATACTATCTTCTTGCAACCATTATTCTGTTCTCAAGAAGAAGAATGTTGATACTTTTGTCTGAGACTTACCAGGTTTTCTTTAAACTATACAAACATAATCTCCAACTTATAAATACTTGTTTTCTTCAAATAAAATAAATTTAGCCCGTCAAGTAACACTGCAGATTTAGCATTGTTCAATCTTTTC